CGTGCACAAGATTGGAGTTCGGCTTTTCCTCGGCTCGACAGACCCGCGAAGGTGGTTTATGCAGGAGGACCGGTCTTAAAAGTGACTTTTTCAGCACCTTTGGTCACCGCGCACGGTCATAAAACGAGGCAGCCGCTAAAGCAAGGACGGCATCCATCTTATGTTTAGGGAAGTTAAAAAATCAAAATGGGGGGGATGGGGTGTTAAAAAGATTCAACAGGAGAGAATATCCTCTCTCAATCCGTCTTAAAAATCCCGTCGGAGGTGATTTGCTGCACACGGTTGGCTGGCTCTCCTCCTACCGTACCCCCGCTGGTGGCTGGGGAGGATGGGAGTTGTAGTCCGTTCATTTCAAGCCGCATCAAGCGGCAATCAAGACGGGGCCTTGGTTCCCTTTCTTTGGCTGCCCTTGCTGGAAACCATCGTCCCAAGCACTTAAGCCAAGGGTGTTTGAAGGCGGATTAGTGGCTGAGAGATAAGTGTCTGGATTGATATCTCAGGAGGCTTTTGGCCACTGTTCCAAGGTCATCTTAGAGCAGGGGAGAAGAGGAGAAGGTCATCCAGCAGATCCCTGTGGTGTGGTGCAACTTTAACCAGAGATAGCTGGCCAGAGAATATGTGCAGCAATGACGAAACACATATTGGTTTTTGTCTAAGCTGCGTTTATTGTTCCCACAGTCCTCCTCTTCCTCCTCTTCCTCCTCTTCCTCCTCCTCCTCCTCTTCCTCCTCCTCCTCCTCCTCCTCCTCCTCCTCTCCCTTTTAGCATTGATGTCTGCAAGGATACCACCCAGCTTGGAGAGCACCAAGGATCCTAAAGTCTTCTTTAGCACTGATGATGTTTCTAGTTGGATAATAAAATGCCCAATAACCCCACAATCGTCTCCCTCTCCTCCTCCTCCTCCTCTTCCTCTTCCCTCCTCTCACAAAACCCCCTCTCATCTAGCACTGATAACGTTACCTACTTTGGTAACGAAACACCTGCAGGAAAGACACCAAGAACCCCATACCTGGTTAAGGCAGGACATCAAGAGCCTTGTCAACGTTCAAACATACCACCTGCTAGTTTTACAAAGTCAGAGAAACCAGAAGAGAGAAAAGGGGAGGAAATTCCAGCAGCTTTGAGCAAACACTTCGATTTTGATCCCAAGCTTCCCACCTCCTTGTTTTATTTCCACATATTGCTTACCTTTTCTTGGATCCAAACAGCTCCGGTCTAAGTTTTGGAAGCCGAAGGAGACACAGTTACTAATGGCAACTCATTCTTCGACCTCTGTTGGATAACCAGGGGGTGGGGGGGGGAGGAAAAGGAAGAAAGGAGAAGAGTCAGGGTTGGAGTCACAATCTGAACTGCGGCCGAAGGGCCAGTGGGAGATGTCCAGATTAGTAATCTCCCTCTGACCTCATGGAAATTTCAATGAGAGCTAAGGAGCTCAGGGAAATGTAAGGTAATCCCACGGAGGGCGGGCGAAAAGGAGGTAAGTCTCAACCCCCTGGGATGTGGATAATATCTATTATTTGGGATCCTTCTCCAGCTTCCTTCAGAGAAAGCTGGTTAGCAGGCCAACTGCCGAAGCCAAGATTGCCGATCCTGGACTCGACAGAGCCCAGCAATGTTGCTAAAGGCAGGATTTGTCAACTCGGCCCCTTTAAGATGAGTGGACTTCAACTCCCAGAAGTCCCCAGTCAACATGGCTGGACTTCAACTCCCAGAAGTCCCCATCACCCTCAGCTTTCGAAAGCACATCTGGGCTTCTGACGTGTTGTTGCAAGAGGAAGAGGCAGGCACACGCATAATTCCATGTTTATTTCTTGTTTTAAAAAAATATATCTGGAGTTTTGTCCTGTCCTGGGACGAAGCAAACATTGGTCCAATCTGTAGTTTGCAGGGAAGGCAAGAAGGTTGAGCTGAGCTTTGGAGGGGAATGTTGACTTTGCTGCCACCTTGGAAACCGTCTGTGCGAGAAGTTGCAAGAAGATCCAGCCTCTAAAGCAGTTTTGTTTTTTTTTCCTTCTCAATTTCAGCACCTTGGAGATGGGTGGACTCCAATCCCCATAATTCCCCACCTGGCATGCTTGAAGATGGGTAGACATGCTGCCTGGAGAATTCTGGGAGTTGAAGTCCACCTCTCTTCAAGCGGCCGAGGTTGGGAGATCCACATATGGGCAACAACCTGGATGCAAATTCTAACCGTGAAGCTTGGACACTGAAAAAGAAAGGAAAAAAATTCTTCAGGTGGCCACAGGAGGGCGCTCAACCCCGAGAAACAAGCTTCCTCTCCCTTTCGCTTAAACTGCCCTCTGGCCCGGCGCCCTTGTGCTGTCTATGGTGGTCCGCCGCCGCTTCCTGTCCCCCCCCTCGTCGTTTCCGGGAAGAGGCGCCGCGGCCAGCTATGGCCGTCAAGTGGCGCATCGTCAAGGCGGCGGGCACCGGGCTGGGCATCTTTGCCGGAGCGCTGTTGGTCTTTCAGCTGTGGCCGTCCGACGACGTGCGTTCGGCGAAGATCAGTAAGGTGAGGAAATAGCGGGAGGCCTATGTCCGCCGTTGCTGCTTTAAAATATGAGGACTAGCGCCTTGCATAAGACTACTCTGAATAATGAGGACCAGCGCCTTGCATAAGATCTTGTCCTGAATAACGAGGACAAGCATCTTGCATAAAGGCCCTGTTCAGGATCCCGAGGACTAGGGCCTTGTGTAAGATCCAGGTGTGAATCATGAGGACTAGTGCTTTAAATAAAATAGCATTCAGAAATACATGGGTTTTATTTATTTATGCATTTGTTAGATTATTTTTTTTAAATTTCAATCATTAGATTTATATTTGCTTTGCTTATTAGACTCTGATTTATTTTGTTTATTTGATTTTTATCTAATAAATCTGTATTCTGTATCCGGCTCTTTGCTTGTATTAGTGTAAATCTCAATCTCGGTGAGCGTAATAAATGGAATTTATTAGATTTTTACTTCCCATTTTTTTGAGTTTTATATATAACTCAAGATGGCAAGCATAGCTAATTACGCCTTCTTCCTGTTTTCCCCATCACAACCACCCTGAGAGAGTGACCAGCTCTACATAAGCTTTTGTGATTAAATGAATCTTTCATGATTCTGGCAGAACTAGAACTCAGGGTCTCTGGTTTCTAGGCCAATACCACCGTCACCAAAACTACACCAAAGTGGCATTTCAGATCAGATCTTATTAAAGGACCAGAAGGTCTAGCATCTTAAATAGGATTCTACTTGGAAACGTGAGGATTAGCACCTTAAATAACATAGCCTATGCAGAACCACAAGGATCAGCCTGTTAAAGAAGATCATATTCAGAACCATGAAGACTAGAATCTTTTCTGACTATTTAGGAGAAGAGGTGTGGCTTAGATCACAAAGGACGAATAGTTTTTTTTTCACCTCAGGCGATGTACAGATCCTCAAAACGGGGATGCCCGAAAAAACTTGGTTTGCCTTCCTCACGTCTTCGTTCTCCCTGCAGAATTTCGGGGGTTCCAGTCAGGACTATCCGGACTCGCAACGACAGAACGCCTTGTTCATGGAAGTCCTGAAAGAGGCCGCGGCGACAGATGACAATTGGGCCCGAAAACCTTACCCTTCGAAAAAGTAGCAATAGCTGTGACCTGAAGTGGCCTTGGGCTACTTGGATTGGCACGAATATCGTGACTCCAACGAAATCATATTTTTCCTTCGACCTGTTAATCCCTCGGGGTCCTTCTATGGCTTGCTTGGCAAGCTGTCTTCATAAATTAAAAATGGCACTTTGGAGTGTTCTTCTCTTTGTGTGTTTCAATGCCTGGCAAAATCAAAAAACGGACCTTAGAAAAACACACGTCCTTAGGGTGACCCAGCCAGCAGGGTCATCCTTGTGTGTTTGCCTGGGTCTTTGAATTCACACACATCATGCCACAACAAAAAACATTAAGTGTCTGGTTCGTCCTAAAAAGTTTTGTTTTATTTAAATTTATAGGTGGCTTAAAAGTAAAAGCAACAAGATAAAATACAGAGATATTAAATATTAACATCAGTTGGTCTGGAAACTGATGCTCAAGAACAAGTGCTTCTGATAAGTTAGTTTATGATCGAAAAAGTACGGAAGTTATATGCTAGCTGCAGTTTATTAACATGATTTGTCTAAATATATGGTTGCTTGTGTTTTTTTATGTAAGGCACTTGCTAATTTAATTTTCATAGCTGTGCTTTAGTAACATTTATAAATATATAATTATTGATATGTTGCTTAGCTGGTTAATTTTTTTAAAATTGCAGTTTAATAATTAACAGTGTTAATATGCATATGTTAGGAAGGAGGGAGGGAGGGAGGAAAGATGGGAGAAGGGGAGGAGGAGAAAGGGAAGGAGAGAGGAAAGGAAAGGAAGAAGGAGGGGAGGGAAGGAAAAGATGGGAGAAAGGGGGAGGAGAAGGAAGGGAACGGGAGAAAGGGAAAGGAGGGAGGGAGGAAAAGAGATGGGAGAAAGGGGGAGGAGGAGGAAGGAAAGGGAGGAAGGGAAGGAAGAGGAGGGAAGGAGGGAGGAAAAGAGATGGGAGAAAGGGGAGGAGGAAAAAGAGGGAGAGAAGAAAGGAAAGGATTAGGGAGGGAAGTTAGGAAAAAGATGGGAGAAAGGGGAAGGAGGGGAAAGAGGGTGAGAGAAGGAAGAAAAAGATATAAATAGAGAAAGAGATGATGGATATTTCAACTAGGGGGAACTTTTTAAGAAGCCCATATTTAGGAGGTAGATTTAAAACAAAAGACCAGTGAAATCTGGAAGATGCAGCTATCGATCGCTGGTGGGAAAGAAACGCGGCCCAGGAATTTAAGGATTATTTTATCCTCCAAGGAAAATAATATTCAGACAGGCCCTGTTTGTTTTCTCTATTTCCCCCTCCCCAACCGGAACCTAACCCAAGAAGCTCTGTTGCCCCCGCCGGACATTTATAGAGGTCGGACGTCTTTGTTCCTCCTCCCCCCCCTCGCGAGGGCGACTTCCGGGAGGCTGGCAGAGCGGCTTCCGGCACGGAGGCGGCCATCTTGCTCGGCGGAAACATGGCGACCCAGCCCGGAGGTGGCACGGTGGCGGGGTCCTCCAAGGCGACCCCCCAAAAGTCCTTCTTCTGGTCCTGCTTCAGCTGCCGCATTCTGACCGGCAGCGGGCTGGCGGGCGCCGGCCTCTGGGTCCACTTGGGGGTCCGCCGGTCCTTGCCACACAGTAGTCCCGGGAACCTCTATAACATAATCCGGCTGGTTTTAGCCGTCGGTAAGTTGCTGCTGGTGGTGGTGGTGGTGGTGTCCCCGGGGGCGGGGTAGATTCGGACGTGCAAGGTTAGACACGTGTAAATGTCTTTGGCTTGCAGGGAGGAGGGAGCTCGTTTCCCCGCTTGGGAGTCCTCGGGGTGCAATGACGTAACTGGGCCACCAGAGGGCAGCATTTCCCCTCCCCAGCGCAAGAATGTCTTAAAAGAATTTAAGTAGCAAAAGTTCTTTTATTATTATTTTATGGATTTATATATATTGACTTGTATCCCGCCTTTATTATTGTTATGAGTAGGAAAAGGCGTCGTATCTGAGAGCCTGGTCTGAATCATGAGGACTTTACAACCAAGCCAGTCAGGGTGGCCCTAATAATCCTCCACTTTTTTAATTCTATTCCACTCTATTTCTATTCTATTCTTTTTATTGTATTCATCCTATTCTATTCTTTATTCTATTTTCCGTTCTATTTATTCTATTATTGCTATTCATTTCTGTTCTATTCGTTTTATTCTATTTCTATTCTATTCATTCCATTCTACTCTTCTATTTTTATTGTATTCATTCTATTCTTTATTCTATTTTCTGTTCTATTCTTTATTCTATTGTTTCTATTCTTTATTTCTGTTCTATTTGTTTTATTCTATTATTTCTATTCTATTTTATTCATTCCATTCTATTCTATTATTTTTATTGTATTCATTCTATTCTTTATTCTATTTTCTGTTCTATTCTTTATTGTATTCGTTATATTCTTTATTTCTGTTCTATTCATTTTATTCTATTATTTATATTCTAGTCTTTATTATTTCTATTCTATTATTATCTTATTCTATTAGTATTTCTGTTTTATTCATGCTCTGTTCTTTTTGCCTTCTGCAGAGCAACACAAATAATTAGCCCTCCAACTTGGTTGTGCCTCCTTTGCCAACAACGATTTTTGTCTCTTTCCAGGTCTTTATTCTGCGGCAATCGTAATCATCGTGGACCCCGTGGAGCCAAAGTAGGACGAGGAAGGTGTACTTTCATCAGCGAAGGGTTCCCAAGACGTACCTGGAGGCAACCCAGAGGGGAAGGTTGGGGGAGAGAGAAGCCTTTCATTGGGAGGTTGGCCTGTTCATTAAGACAGGAGAGAAATGTTGCTGCTTTTTCAATCTTCCACGGAAAATGGCTGCTGTCATTACGAGTCTTTTTTTCCCCGTGTCAAAAGTCAGTTACAGTGACTCTGGACGATGGAATAAGCCATCTTGCCAATTTCGTTGCTGAAAAATCATGCTTGTTGGGTGAAAGGGGGGGGGGGAAATATACCTCTAATTTACCTGCGTGTCTTTGTGTGTCTTTTCTTCCTTTGCTCGCTCCGTGAAACTGTTCCTCACTTAAAAACACGGCCGCGAGCTTTGAACCCCAATTTCCCCAGTGGATAATTTGCGGTAGTTATGGGAAACGTAGTTTGGGTACGTGGTGGATTGTGCCAGTTTTCAAGCTACAATCCAGCCTCCTTATTCCGAGGCAGTCTACCTCACAGTGCCAGGTGCAACTGGAGGTGTGTGTGAGCGTGAATTTGGGAGGGAAGGACGGCTGGGAAGACCAGATCCTGCGCTTGTGCCTCCGTCGAGAAAGAAAACCACAAATGGGACACCAGAGTGAAGAGGTTTTTATTCAGGGCTGGCTTTGGGGGGTGTATCCAGTTGCAAATCCTGGTTCCTCTCCAACTCTTCTACCCACATAATGTCTGTTTCAGTATCCCTGGGTTAAGGGGCTGCTGTTTCAGAGTCTCTGGGGAGAAGGGGGGGGCAGGGCTGGCGCGCTACGGTGGCACCCAGTGACTACAGGCTAGGTCAGCCTCCAACAACCGGCACGAACCGACCGTTCGTTGCAAGCGAAGAGAGCCGCTCAGCTGTTCCCCTTCTTGGCCACTATCAACACGGCGGAAGGCACCAAGCCTGGAAGAAAGAGAGGAGGGGAGAAAAAAAAATGAATGGAAAAAAAGAATAGAGAACGCAGAGGGAGCGACCGAAAAAAAAACAGCAGCTTTGGAGAGTGAATCAAGACTTTCTATGCTCTTCTCCACTGCCCTCGCCACTCTCTGTAGGGGCTTTCTATTGGAGGCACTGTTACCACCAAACCGGACAGCGATGCAGTTCTGGCATTTAAGAACGAGGCAAAGGGGAGTTTGGAGGCCCAACTCCCCTTTGACACACACACACACACCCCAAACTCACCCAGCTCCTGCAGGGGCTTTTCCATGTCTTCCTCAGTGAAAACCCGCCGGGGGAAACTCGTCAGGAGGTGAAAAGGGTCTTCGACACCATCTTTGCGGTTCAGCTCCACATACAGCCGCACGGCTGCCAGTTGCTCCTTGGCTTTGAAGGTGTGAGTCAAAGAGGTGCCATCCAGGAGTCTCACCTACCAGGAGCAAAATCAAATCCCCCCCAATGACCCCAATTTAGGCCAATGTTCCCGTCGCTAAAGCAAGACGGTGCTTAAAGTGAAATTTTGGCCCCCGTTTGACGAACCTTCCTCGCCAGACAGTTGTTACGTGAATCCCTGCGGCAGTTTTAAGTTCCTGACACAGTCATTCAACGAATCCGGCTTCCCCATTAGCTTGGCTGGTCAGGGGCGGTCGCAAAAGGGACACTGCAACCGTCGTAAATATGAGTCAGTTTGCCAAGCGTCTGAATTCTGATCGTGACCGTGGGATGCCTCAACCATCGAGCAAAAATATTTTGTTCGGCGCTGTTTTAACTTCAAACAGTCACTAAACAAACGGCTTCAGATTGAGGACGGTGTACAAAAGCCAGTTTTTCCTTGTTCTCCGTTCCAGATTTTACCGCATGGAAAATATTAGCTCCGCGGCCGTTATCTTGCCTTACCTGTATCTTGCACTGATCGTATTCTCGCTTGCTTGCGGGGAGCTCCTGGCTGGGGGAGGAGATAAGCATGGGCTCCATCTGGTCAGTCACGGGGGAGGCCTGGGTAGCGCTACTGCAGCCAAACTGGGGGGGGGGGACGACAAAAATCAGGAAGGTGAGCCCGCCAAAGCTGTGCAATTCTAAACCAGCCATTTCTCGTGGTGCGTAACTTGAGATTGGGGGAGGGACGGGACACTTCAACTCCCAGAATTCCCCAGCTAGGATGAGGGTGGGAAGGAGAGGGAGGGAGGAAGGACAGAGAAAGGAGGGAGAGGAAGGGAGGGAGGGAGGAAAGAAGGATGGACAGAGGAAGAAAGGGGGAGGGAGAGGAAAGGAGGATGGTGGAGATGCGATGGAAGAGGGAAGGAGGGAGGGGGGAAGAGAAGAGGGAGGAAGGATGAAGGGAGAGAGGAAGGAAGGAGA